GGGTTTCGTAACAGGACCATGCACAGAAGTTCAAGATGTCACGTAACCGTGGCAAAGTAGCGGCGGGGAAGAAGAAAGTGCTCAAGTGACTCCGCCTACATTGATAGATGACTTGATTATGCTCTCCTTCTCTTGCATGCTCTCGCTGTTTCCTCTCTCCGAAATCCACATCAATCGTTTGTCTTTCAAGTGGCACAAGTAGGGTCCATTATCAAGTCTTCTCGACAGATTCCTTCCTTTCTTCTTCACGAAAAAGTCAGTGTTCTGCTTTCTCAACCCCGATACCTACGAGCTTTCCGCTGGCTCATCACGGTCTTCCTTTGCCAAGTGGATTTTCTTCTTAATAGCAGACAGTGGTATGACAAATGACTGTAAGGGCACAATTCACTCTTCTTCTTCTCCTCTCTAGCGTTACTATCGCACCCGCACAGTCTTAGGGTCCGATGTTGTTAGACGTCACCACTTGTTCCGATCCACTGCATCTTCTGCTGTGGCTTTCACTTCAGTGAGGTCCTTCTTGATGACGTCCCTCCATCTTTTCTTTGGGGCTCCTCGTGGTCGCTTGCCCTCTAATTCAAATTCCAACGTCTTCCTTATCAGGTGAAGCTCGGTTGGAACCCCACTGCGTTCAGGATGAGAAGCTGCGCAACCGCATGCAGTGCTCCATTTCGCGTCTTTTAAGACATTGCAGGAATGCCAGCGTCTTGTGATCCAACTCTGACAGCACCCTCTTCAGTCTGGTAATATATAGTATCCCTTCGTTGCTAGCGCGATTGTGTTCGCACTTGACAGAAGTTGTCTGGTTTCTTGTCGCGTCACTGTTTATGCCCAACAAGGACTCTGCAGTCCGAGGACAGGCTGCTACCGTATAACGCGTGCTCCGCAAGTTTCCCAAATCTGACATATATTACTTTCCGCCATCATATACCGCCTCTAGTGTTACCCGCCTGATGTGCTTTTGACCACATTTATTCTACGAGCGAGTAAATTGGAATCCTGATGGGGAGAGTGGGAGGGGAGGGGGATGGGGGAGTTGGCAGTGGTGGTAGCAGCGGCTCACTGAACTGTACTATCTTTCTCATCATGCTCGACCTAAAATACTGCAAAAAATACTCGGTCTTCGTTAGGACCACTTCTGGACGTCTTCCGCCGTTTTCTGCACCGATTATTCAAGCAGCACCCACAAATTTTGACCTGAGCACTACAACCGCGACTCACAGTCGTAAGATGATTATTTAAGCGAGGTCGGAACAGAAGATATAGGTACATTCTGGTGGACCATAATACTCCAGTGATTTGCGGAAGTGCTCGCGAGCTATTCATAAAATGTTAAGTGAACGAACTTGAATTTCTCGTATAGAGAGCTTTTTCCAGCATTTCCGGCGAGCAGTACCAACCAGTATACAGCACACCTGGTTATCTACCAAGCAGCACCATGCCTCCCATCACGTACCCACCTACTACTACGGTTAGTTTCTTTCTCTTTTTTACTTTATTTATCGATCAAAGCTTGTCCCACATCTGTGATGTTGACAGATAGTATCCCAGCAAACTTCCGATGAGCAAAATGTGAAAAGTGGCCGAAAGGATTGAAAGTGCAATCGTGTGAGTGACTTGGCAAAATGTGAAAAAATTCAAATCGGGTCGCATGCTA